TTGAGCTCTGCGAAGTTCCGTCAGATTGGCTTTCAATTCGTTCTCCTGCTTCTCCATATTGTCGACAACAATTTTGCGCTGTCCACCATTACTGCATTTGAAGAGTTCAAATCTTTCTTTCTTTAGCGCGTCCTGGGCTTTGCTTAGCATTGCATGCGCACTTTCCAATCTTTCCCGGTTTTTTTCGATGGTTTGGTTGGAGCTTTGAAACTTCTTCAAAACCGCATTTGAAAAGTTACAAGACTGGCCAGTTTCTTCTTGCAATTTTTCCATGTCTTCTTTGAGATGCTGGGTCTTCTCAAGTGTCCATGCAACATTAATCGCACCTTGGATTTCTCCAGGTTTAAATGTCGCGAGGTTACTGTTTGAGCATATTTCTTCAGCCTTCTCGTTCCAAAACGTTCAATATATTTTCTGAAGACCTGTTTACGTACGGTTTTGTCACCATTTTAATACTGATTTGCTAAATAACTGTCCCCCAGTGAAGCGGAAACCGCAAGTGATCGGGACACGTTCCTATTGTTTCCCTTGCCGCTGCTACAGCTCATTTTGCCTTTACACGTGAAAAATCTGTTCCGCTCTATGTATTTCGATAAGAGTTAGTTTAACACTGAGATATTTGATCAGTTCCTTATCTTGTAACACTCCAAATTCAAATTCGATCTGGAAACAGTGGACGGAGAACTACTCTGTGGATGTGCCACTGCAAATTCCTATTTATTTAATTATTTATTTGTAAGTATTTACATGTAGATGAAGTTTTTTTTCTTATATAAAACTTAAGTGAACACTCCGCTATATTTTCTGAGAAATAGCTTATTATATGATAAATTATATGTGTATTTTGACAAGCAAGTAAATTTATTCACCTCTAATACACTGTGACCTCGCTCCCAGTAATGCAAGGTCATTATTGCCAATAAAATTCACTGCCGATTTTTTAAGTCACAAATGCAACCGGAAATCTCATGAAAACAGTTACCTGACTCGCTTGAAGTTTACTTAAGCGAGTCGGCAAACTTCAAAAAATTTTACAATGTTGTCAAATCGGGAAAAGAAAACGCGTTATTTTTTCACCTCTTCTCGTGCGTCAGGTCTAGTTTTCAAGCGGAAAATATATATATATTGTGTTATCCAGCAAAATTAATCATCTTTGTTTAATCATCTTCTCCAAACGGATTGAACACATGTTTGAACCAGAATTGAAGACTGTTTTCCTGGCATACACAACTTTTCGTCTGCGATCGTCACGCGTATCTTCCGCTATATATGATAGAGGCTTTGTTCTCTTTCTGCAGCTTCTAATTGCGAGCAAACACAGACTGACAGTTCCTTTTTTTGCCTGGCAAAACCCAAATGCATAAACATATCAATTTAAAGGTGAAAGACAGAGATGCAAGCTTCATCTGCATCTCCCTCTATTATAAATTTCAAATCCTTGGTATTCACTTGCCGCAGATTATTCCAGGAACCCATCAAAAACTGACAGTTTACATACATGTGAAAACACCCGTCAAAATTAGTCGGTAAACAAAGCACCCTGTTATTATGTTAAAGCGAGATAAGTTAAATTTGTGAAAACCCGACCTAAGTCTCGTACGTACAACAATGTTAATAATTTTTGTATGTGGATTGTTTTGGATCATCCATGGCTTTAGTGGACTTGAGAAACTTGGCTTCATGCCGTAAGGACTTCACTCTGGACATTTCATTTTGTGAAACCTTGGAGAAAAAGTACGGCGGAGTATCATTTAACTGGCAGAAGGAGTATGTTGGCCAGCATCAAATTGATAAAGTTTCCCTTCAAATCATTCCTGACTCCTTTAAAGAACCGTTCTTGCCTGTACGTTCAACTGGTGATGGAAACTGTCTCTTTAATTCTGCCAGCATAGCAATTTGTGGCAACCAAAGACTTGCGGTTGAACTGCGACTTCGCACAAGTATTGAACTTGCCATTCACCGTGATTATTACAGAAATCATCCTGTGTTGAGAGGAGCTAAAATCCAGTTTAATTCTAAAAAAGGTGGCGTCGGCTTTCTCCCTTTGGAATCGCTCTTTGATCTTACTTGTTTCAACTCCGAGTCAGAAAGAGTTTTGTCTGAAAAGGGTTTCGAAGCAGCATTCTTAAAAGAAATGATGGTTACATCAGTGAACTACACTTATAGTGGGACTTTGCAAATCACGAGTCTTGCCAGCGTTGTCGGTGTTTCACTTGAAACCTTATACCCAGAGCAAAGAACTAAATTGTTGCCTATTTACCAAAACACTTTCCTTCCTAGAACTGGCCAAAACAGCGACCAAGTTCTTCGAATAATGTGGACTAATACAAGGGGATGGCCAGATCGATCTAAGGAGTTTAAAGTAAATCACTTTGTTCCTCTGTTACAAAAAAACCCGCATGAAGGAAGTCCTGATGCCGATTGGAAATCTGTTGCTCCTAAAAGAAAGTGTACCAGTAATCAGTGGAACAGAGAAAAAGTTTTAAAGCAACAAGGGAACAGTGCATTTCAGTCAAAAAAGAATCACAAACCAGCCGAATGCCATGCGCCGCGCGAAGGAGCACAACAGCCAGAATTTGCGAAATTTGAGCAAAGCGATCATTCAGCTGAGCGGCAGCGAAGCAAAAACTACAATGTTAAGCAACATGAAAACACTAAAACACAGCGAAAAATGGAAACAAATGACAATCCGAAGCGACATTGGTCTGCAGGACAAAAGGCTGAAAAGAGATCGGATGATGAGAAAAAACACAGCGGAAGACCAAGAGACAATCCAGCGCGTGTTACGGTTAAGAAGAAGTCCTCTGAACGGTCTACAAACAACAATAACGCGGGGGAAACTGAGAGCAAAAAGAAACCAACCCGACAACACACTACACGAACAACTGGTGGAAGCTCTTCAGAAAATGTTACTGTGAAAAGAGAAAGTGACCGCAAGCCCGCTGTAAAGGAGCAAACTGAAGCACCTGGATCACCGTGGACAAAGACAAAATCTGAACAGGGTTCTTCAGAGGACGAGATGGGTGGGAAAGTGATTGCAAATGAACATGAAGACAGTGGTGTTCATCACAAGAAAAATAAACAAGCGACAAGGGAGAGCGCCACAGCAAACCTAGGTGCAACAAGACGTGAGGAAGAAATGGATAAAACCATACCGATGGAAAGTAAAAAGACTGTCATGACAGAAGAACAAACCGTAGAAACAAAGGGCAAAATGTCAACCGAGGGAAAGTTCAATGGGACTTCTACTATGGATAAAAAGACTGAAAGTTCAAAAATTACCAACAGTGTGAACCAAAACATGCAAACCGAAAAAGAAAATTCGGAAACTGCTAAACAAGTCGGGGATTTTAATCAAAACAAAAGCAATGATCATGCTTACTTATTTGAGCAATACTTAATGGGAAGGTCATCGTTACCAATTCCGTGTGCGTCAAGAAAATTTTACTCTAAACAAAACATTAATGCAACTAAAAAAATAGTATGCAAACTGCACGACGCGCAGAATTACCATCACTGCAAGGGCCAAACAAGGAGATGATAGCGCTTCAACGAAGTAAACTTGACGGAACTCTCCTAGAGAATATTGAAACCATTGAAAATGAAATGAAAATCTGCAAAGATGAAACAGAACGAGCGGAATTAATAGGGGTGATGGATGTAGCGAAAGAAATTCCAAAGAAAATACTTATCTCTACAATGGATGCTGCAAAAATATACAAGGAGACAAAAGCTACTTTATTAAACCAGGAAGTTAGTGACTATTTTTGCACTATCGGTACGTATGAGAAGCTTGCGAAACACCTTAACGTCGATCAAATATACATTGATAAGAAGGCCTTTTTGGTTGAATCCAAGGGTACTTCGATTGGAGAAGTAGTAAACCATGTAGCAACAGATGTTTTCGAGGCCATTATGGCAAAAATTACAAGCATGAAAAGTGTTGTTTCTCTAAAAGAAAAACATTTCAAAGGAAGTGTACGTGGACATATAAGTGAATTAGATTTAAATCTAGATAAGTTCAAACAAATGCATTCGGATCTGGAGACAAAGGCTGCCACAACAGAAAAAACCCCAAGTCAGCAACGTACACATGTTCAGCGAGCTACAGAAAAATTAAAAAAAGAAATGTCTAAAACAGTTGCAGATGGCTGCGGCAGAAAACTAAAATGCGAGGAATTTCCTGAGCTTGCACAGTTTATTGAATTCGCATTTGGCGAGGGAGACAGAGTTCATCGAGGTGGAGGTGGACTCGAAGCTGATCGTTGACTGCTGGACACAACTCTCTTTAAAGCTGCTGACAAAGTTACCGTTATGCGCCATGCCAAACAGTTAATAAATCGAGTGAGACCAGACTTTAAGATTTCGAACTCATGCCTCTACACATACACTATGAATTACAAAAGAGGCTCAAAGCAGGCTGAAAGACACCACCATGGCAGGGGGGTTAATGCCAATATCTCCCTGCACAAAGCCCCAAATACAAGCCAAAACTTTTATCCAGTAAATGCAAATTGGTCCACCTCACACGTAAACTGCCTTATTGATTCCATGTCTCAAAATGAAAGCGGTTGCCTTCCGGATTCCAAAGATGCTAAGTGCATTGTGTGTGGGGATATTGCACCTGTCTTGAAGCCCGGAAAAAGCTGGTCCAAGTTTGAAACACCTGACCACTCTTTCGATCAGTCCCGAGTGAATGCGGTGACTCCGATGACTCATCTATTTATAGACACGCCAAAGCTCACTAATGTTGATCTAAACATCATGGGAACTGACACCGTTATAAATGTCACTAGAACAGGAAAAGCGATAACCTTAATTAACTTGTCCCTAGTGAACCAGAGACTGTTTTCCACGTTTTCAACGAATTGTTTTATTTGATGACCCTACCATCACTGGACAAGTACTTTCGCAACCCCAAAACAGGACAACTCAAGGAGGTTATGGGTTTTGTTGTCGATAATGGCCCCTCCGAATCTCCGTCAAGTTTTCTTGTGCAAATGCTGTTAGTTTGGTTTCTAAAATTTCTCAATTTGGACAAGGTCACACAGAGAGCTTTTGCTGAGTACCTAAGCAAAAGGAACCTCGTAGAAAGGGTTCATGCCATTGAAAACAGGGTGTTATCTAGTCATGGTCCATTCTGTTCAAAAGCAATTCACAAGAGTGCATCACCCGGAAGCAAAGAGCACAAAGAAAACATGAAACACATGGCAAGTGAAGTTTGCAAATGCATAGGCAGTGCATTTTGCAATAAGGAGCTGATACAATGCTTTTGGGGGATTGGTGCTGAAGACAATTTTGTCTTTAATGACGAGAGCTGCCTGAAGTCATTTGGTTTACTTTCTGATGAGAGAAGAAGAGAGGATGACACTACCTACAAGCCAGTAAAAAATGATATTTTGGAGTATCTAGAAAATGTTTGGTGTGTAGAGAAGAATTTTAAAGGATGCTACAGCGAGGACTACCGCACATTAACATCGTTACAAACAGCATGTATTGATAAGTACAGTGTATCGATTTACCAAGAAAACGATGATTGGAGATCAAAGGAACCGTTGGAGAGATTTGATCGTCAGCCTCTTCCCGACTACCAGAGATGGATAGAGAGCGGGGAGCTCCATTACCTCAGTTATGAGGCAAGACGAGACTTTCCAAGGGGACCTTGGGATGAGTGTTCAGGCTTGTTCCTTCCAGAAAAAGTACTGGATAGTGCTTTTCGTGTCCTACCTTCTCCTCTGGAAGAAGAATTGAGGGCAATCGCTTATCTAGCTTGGATCTCCGTTGAACAAGCATCGCAGTTTTATGCCAGTGCGCAAAAGCAATTAAGTCAGCAGAGGGAAGAAGATTTGAAACAAGAGGCTTGGAAGTTGCATCCTCTCTACAAGGAGAGGAGAACAGCATTGAGAGAGCTGGGGGCATGAACCCAAATTTAAAGAAGTATGAGTTGGTTCAGCAGATAGTGGAGAGCAGTGGTGATGCTGAAAAGTATGTCGCCATGCTTTCTGAAAAAGATCTTCATGATGGCAGTATCTCATCCATACCAAATGGTAAGACAGGACTGATGAAGCTTTCGCTGGCGCATTTAAGAGCCATTCTGAGAGCACATGATGTTCTGGAAGTTGGTTCAAATGAAGAACTCATTGTTAGAGTTGGGCTCCTTAAGGCAGGCCATCAAGATGCGGCTTTTTCACGTGAACGTTTAGCCATCCTCCATCAAATTGCTACAGCAAGGGAACTTGTTCGAAATCAGGCCTCAAGTACTCGAATCATTTGTAAAAGGAAGTTTGCTCATGGGAAAACGGAAATGCTGACTGCCCAGAACAGCTGCCTCCAAGATTTGTTGCAGCACAGCGCACCAACAATCGATGCAACTTCTTCAAATCGTGATCCAGAGGTCATTTCAGCTGGATTGGAAATCAAGTTGTTGGAGATAGAGGAGAAGTCAAGATCAAACGTCGACAAAGAAAGGCCAGCAAAATCAACAAACAAAGATAAAACGGAGGCCAAAGATTCAAAGAGAATACAAAGCAAGATAAACGAAAAAGTCAGAAGATCCGGAAGGAAAAGAAAAGAGCCAGCAAAAGTAAAAGATGGTAGTGAGTCTCCTAATTTTTTCACTCATGTCGGCACACTTGTAGATGTCCTTTGGACCGAGAAAGACCTGGAAGGGACAAACTGGGAGCCTGGATGGTATCGTGGCGAAGTACAATGATACGAAGAAAATATTGACAAAATTTTTGTGTTTTATTTCAAAGATTGTGTTGTATATAGCTTAAACGTAACCGGTGCTTTTGCCGATGGTATCATTAGTCCAGCTGAAAACCAGCAAACTGCTCCTTATTGACTCCAGCCATCTCTTAATTTTGATCTGCACTGAGCTTAATTCTGTTGCATCATAATGTGTAGGAGACTTGACGATTTCTTTATGGCTGACTTGCTTGCGATGTTACAATGAATGATAAGTACAGGCGTACCGTAGTCGAAAACAGTTGATAGTAACATTGAGAAACACTAGGATCCAGGTCTTTGTATATATGCGCGTGGGACTGGTAACTAGCCAAGGTTTGTTTATGCACAATCGCACGAAATTATTGACCCGCTGTTAACAAGAATCAATGTTTGTGTGAAGAAATTTTACATTAGAGGCTGGAATTTGGAAAGATGAGTTCAAAATAACATACTGCTGACTCGGTTTTCTCTTTTGCTCTCTTATTTATGACACAATTTTGTACAAATTTACGTTGCTTAATGTGATTTCGAACGTTTCCATTTCAAGTGCACGCAATTTTCTCAGTACATTGTACAAACTTAACAGTTCAAAAGTGTTTTGTTGCGACTTGTACGGTTTTTTTCTCCTTTCGTGTACTGAAAATACTGTGTTAAATGTTTAAGGATAAGTATTGTATTTAAAAATAAAACAAACGTTAAGTTTAAGCTAGTTAGCGACGTTTACCTTGCGCGTGTACGCCATCTCGAATATACACGCGACAAAATCACACGTCCCTCTTGTTTGTTGTTTGCTATGAGAAAAAAATATATTTCCAGGGGGTATAGGGGGTGGTAGAAAATTCTTTGGAAATTCCAGAGGGGTGGGGGGGCTACCACTGCTACCCCAAAATGGAAAATCCGAAGGGGTGGGGGGGTCCTATATGAAATTCCCTCCGTGGTGGGGGTATGGATATTTTCTGGAACTACACAATAGAGAACCAGTTAGTCAGGTATCCTGTAAGTCCCTCTTCAAAGCAATAAAATAAATTGCTTTATCCTACTTTGTCCGATTCAATGTCCAGCAGTTTCTCGTGGATCACTTTGTGATAAAACTTCTGTTGACTTGTGACAGCCATCTGCTACAACCTTGTCATAATCCTCTTGAATGTTTTCAAGGCTTCGTTTTTCAGCATGCCCACATTTATGGTTAGAGACTTGCATTACTTTTTAATTTATCTTGCACCAAAGACATGGGTACTTGCCTGCAAATACATTTCTCATGTTGGAAACCTATTTCACATAAATAGTAATGTAGAGTAGAGGCTACATTTATATTCCTTTATTGATTGCCTAACCATAATTATTTGTATTTGTGAATTGTTGTCTAGATCATACTTGAGGCACCAGCTATTCCAAATAACTTGGATGGGAATTCATAGTCACCGAACAGGAAAACCACCTTCTTTTTACCTCTAGAAATAAGCAAAATAAAAAGGAGAATTTAATTAATATTATACATTTTCAAGTCTCTATCCTCTAGACTAACTAAAAGTGCGGTACATTTTTCGTTACCTATGCCCAGGTTGCTTCTTTCAAGGTGTCTACTTGTTTTTTATAATTCACGAAGGCTCACTTTAAATTGGCCCAACTATCTTTGCATGGAGCATGCTAAAGACCTCTGTGTTGGGTTTAGGGTTTGGATGCCTCAGGTTAGTGATCTGGAAGGCCATTTTAAATGACCCACCACCAGCATCTCCTCCAAGTCTTATGTGCACTTCATTTTCTGGGATTTCATTGTTCCATGTCAGCCTTCCATTCCTAAAATGATAATCAACTCTAATAAGACTATAATTCACAGCAAAAGGCAACAACTAACTTGAGTTTAATTTGAATCATTTATCTAGTGATTGCATTTACTTTTTTTACAACTATTTCTTCATGATTATACTTTTCATTTTTAACCAGATGAAGATGTATGAATTGGTTCAGGTCTGTAACGTAACCAAACTCTGTTTCCATGAGCAGCTGTAGAGGAAGTTATTAAACATTTCGAAAATTCTGAACGAAGTGAGGCTGATAAAGAGAGCTTGAAATCTCTTGTTATTGGGAAACTTCTTGAAGATTGCAATTATGATGTGCATGATAGTGATCTCCATGGAAGCAAGTCAAAGTTTAAAGCTCCATTTTCATGAATGACATGATGGAAAATGATGTGTCCACTCTATAATCTACCACAATAACACTATCTGATTTGCTGGAAGAGTAACCTACAAATGTTTTTGTGAATTGCCTCAATCATTAAATGTCAAAGTTAAGTAATTCCAGAAAAAGGCTACTCAATCACAATGTGGCTACTATATGGAAGACAGATTAAAAGATACACTTATTGGAACTTTTATAACTTTTTTGTCAACATTTAATCAAGCTCCTCTATCCCAGAAAAAAATTAAGGTCGTTATCATATGATGGGGGTTGTAGGGATTTTCTGGATTCATCTGATGTGTAATGATATTAATATATAGTTATTATTTGTGTGCTGAAGCTTGATGGTGCACAAGATTCCTCCTTTTAACAAACGTCTTCCTGCACTGCTCACATTTAAAACTGTCAGTATGTTGTGCCTTCTTGTGCCTTTCCATGATTAAATGTTTTCCTGCATTCATCACATGTGCACTCCTTGCACCCTTTAATGTGGTATTTATAGTCTTTCTTCCTTTTGAACTCAATGCCACATGTTTTGCACTTGCTCTTTGCAAGGATCCCAGTATCAAGGTCCTCTCAACAATTGTGCCTTTTGTTTCCAGTCCTAAAAATTGGACATTGTTAGTCACCTGTCATATGTTCGATGTAATGTATGACTAAGTAAATTTGATGAAATTAATTTTGCTGTTAGCAACATTAGGTTTCTTAAAAGATGCAAAAGTAAAATCTTTTTGTTATTGGTGTTTGTATGAATTGTCACTTTTTTGCAATCCCTAGTCCCCTCCTCCTTTTAAGCCTTCTCACAAATCATCGATTCAAAACAGAAATGATCACATAAACATTGTTGATATGCACAAAATTTATACAATAACAATGTTGTTGTTTTTTCTTTGTTGCCGAGGATGGTTCAAATCAGTATGGATAGGCCAGATGTCAAGATGAAGGTGAATTTTTCAGAAAAATTTTATACACCTCTAATTATTAGTGATTCTTGTGGCATCCAAACAGTGCAGAACAGCTTTAAGGCTGGTGTTGAGGCAACTGGATGGAGTGTTTCTTCCCCCTTGTCAAGCTTGTATTATCATAACAGGTAACAGGAAGATCACAGCTTCCACTTAAATTTGTAAGCCATGGTTAGCCAGAGAATGTGACCTCCATATGATTTTAGAGACAAAGGTGATAGCTTGCTCACAACACACTTCCACTTGAAACCAAAAGAAACTGGCTATAACACACTTGCTGAGCTTATGCTTTTGTTTCATATAACACACTACTAACAATAAAGTGTGGGCTGTTGAACAGTGACACATGAGCAAGCAAACACACATAGCATGTTAACCCTCTATACAAAAGCTAGTGTGCAAGAGGACACCGCACACTAGTGTGTAACCTAGTGTGCAGCACACATGTTAACTTAACCTAAAGCTAGAGTAATCAATACACATTTGATGTACTTTCATTCTTGCAGTGAAAACCAAAGCTTGTATCAGTGCTTATGATTAGCAACTTGCTGATCAGGAGAACAAAGTTGAAACATTGGCCTGCAAACCAGTTAAGAATGCAAGACAGACACCTCACTTACTATTTTCATGTGGAGAGATTACTTTTGATGATGTTTGTCGCATGTCAAAGCACAAAATCTAACCCAGTGCTGCACAAATTGTGACAATCGCATAAACAGCCAAACATGTCCATGTTGCTCATAAATCATCATAACATGTAGCTGTGAACAGCCAAAATGTTTGTGTAAATGTTCCATTGGATGGCCAGACCGATTTTAGGGGATGGTAAACAAAACTAAAGGTGTGAAGTAAGTTTTGTTTTCATCACCTGAGTTGAGCTTAAATTCTTTTCATTCATTGAAATTTTCATTTGGACATCCTTTTCTCTGGTCTTGTTCTTGCTTCTGTTTCTCTCTAATTACTTGTAATGAGAGGAAATAGTGGGACGTCTTTTCTCGTGGTCTCAAAGGTTAATAGTGTTTTTTGAATTGCGACATGTAATTGAATTTCCTGGTAAAACCACTTAAAATTTCAACCATGAGTCTGACTGTTAAATTTTTGATTGATTAGTTTATCTGAAAATAATTTCATCAATCATCCATACCCCACAAGTGCAGATGGTTTGTTGCAACTTGATAAATTTTGGCTGAAGCAGGCAAATCCCCAAGCACATTGCAGAAAATTGGACAAAAGGGACTTAAAAACAAAGCTGTTTTAAACTTGCCAATAATTTGTGGTAAAAGCTGCCACCAGTGTGTAATTGAAGTGAGTTTAGTCTACTAAGGAGGCAATGGTTGTCTTTTGCTGTTAAACTTTTGGAATTTAAAACTTTGAAATGACCTAAGATGATTCTTGGTAATAAGAGTTTATAGAGATTTTCAGGTAAATTTGAACAATCACTGACATGATGTTTGAGATTCTCCATTTTTTTGTGGTTAAGGCAAATGGCCATTATTGATCTCAGTACATCATGGGTTGTTTCTGGTCTGTTTATGGATAAGAAATTTTAAATGGAAAAGAACAATTAAGAGAGGGAAGCCTTTGACTTTATCTCTGAGACTTGCATGCGTGTGGCTTTGTAGGGCTTTCCTCAATGAGTGGGTAAAGGGGTAAGAATGGTTGTAAGCCAATAACGAAATCAACGTCACATTTGGATGGTGGAAAACAAGGAATTACCTTGTCTTGCCTAGTAATCATTTTTTCATGACAGCAGAACTAGGTAATATGCTTCAACGCATGGGTGTGGATTATGCATAAAGGGAAACAGTTTCCCTCTAAGCATCAATATGACATCTTCAAAAGGAATTGGTTTACTCTGGCTAGTCATGAAAAAATGCAGCCGCCTCACATCTCCCAAAGGAACTGCTTTGTGATAACGCTGAGGAATTCGTATTGAATCAAAATAATAGCTACTACTGACAACAGTATTTAATAAAAAGGTGGGGAAGGGAGTAGAGGTCTAATAAAAGCAATCTACATATTGTTAGTGGCCAAACTTGAATAAATAACATAGTTATGCAAGTATTTCATTCATTTCTTTTTTGGCGGGAGGGGGATTTGGAAAGCAATTGTTTAAACTAAAACATTTAACCATATGCTACTATCAAAAGAACTACATGCCATGAATACTATGTTGCAGATGTAAAGATATTTTGTTGGCACTCACACTTCATGCTTCATTCCTGGAATTATGGATTAGCTCTATGACAGATAGAGGTCTCACATTAGCCCCAGTTTAAAGGGAATTAAATTCACCATCAGTAATAAAACTTGAAAAAGATGAGCAATTCAGCATAAAGTAGGTGAAATATTCAAGGAAAGATTTGACATTTTCTCATTAAAAGAAACTATGACTGCAAAGTGTGCTATAAGGCTGTAAGGAATGGGTTTAAGACCTAAATACCTAAAGTACATAATTACATTGTATGATAACTCTTCAACTACCCACAACTGTCATGTCTTCACATCTCATAGCCTCCACTAAACTCATCTATAATTTTCCCAAGCTTGAATCTGTTAGAGACTTGTAGGGTGTGAATCATTTCTCAATTCAACTGCAGTCATAAAAACAAATACGTGACTAGCAGCTGTACGCATCTTTGAAAACAAGTTTTTTAGGTAAATTAACAGGCTTTATTTCAAAGAGGTACAATTTCTTGTGTTTGCATTGCCCTTGCAAATGGGTGCAGCTCCACTTGGAAATTTCGGCATCTCTCAACTGGTTTTTTTTTTTTTAAACTCTACCACACTCCAAGACAATCCATCATCTTCTGGTCTGATGACCTTCCAGCTTCAATTGCTTAGTGTACACACCATTAGCAACCTTAACATTTCATTATTTGCATCTGAATAACAAGTTGAAGAGTATGTGGTCGACCATAACTACTGACCCAAATAAATGCCTTTTGTGAAGACTGATGTCTAATTTATCACAGCTATATTATTCTGAAAGTAAATTTGAAAAGAAATATAACACAAAGCTAAGTTCATGATCTTGTCAACCACAGAGAATCACTTCTTGATTTTTGTTTACCAGAAATTACAAAAATCATGAAATGCCAAACTTGACCCTGTTGAACTCGGAAAATTTCTTTCTAAAAATGAAATTGAGTCAGGATTATTGAACTACACTTAGAAAATATCTTAGTTTCCCATTTTTGCTAGTAAATGCGTTGAGTGTGCCATTTTTCCTTGCAATTCCTGTCCTTGTTGACACACAGGAATGCAGTTACAGGTCACGCACACAATGAATGAGTTGTATTGGAAGTTCATTGCAAGGTTTTCAACTGAAGCCTTTTTGGCTCAGAATGCATAGTGTCTCCTTGCATCTGTAACCTCCAAGGAATGCTTTTGGTCACTGAGCCTCTTCTAATCTCTTTCAGTGAGTGGGAGAGGTGGGGGTCGTCCAGACTTTCCTCGAAATGACCTTTAAGCAATGAATAATACACACTATACTTTATTTCATGCAAATCATTTTGCCAACTCCACCCACAAATAGCAAAAGCTAGACGAGGCAGGCGGAGAGGAAAGGTTACAGCAGTCATAACAGATAATATAATAATTGTAAAGTAACTAAATAAACTATCTGGATAAACAATATATAGTCTTACAGAATGATATTACAATCAAATTTACTACTAACAGAACTATCAATTATATACATTGAGTTGAGGATGCAGAATTTGCCATTTTTTGTAGGAGAATGGGCACTTCAACATAATCGTCCTCTGCTTCCATTATCGAGAGCAAAAAGTCATGAAAGTTTTTCTTAAAAGCTCCTTTGGAGAGTTGACGAAATTCGTTAGGAATTGCGTTCCAAAGTTTAGCTCCAAACCTGGAAAAAGAATCTTGATTTAGATTCAGTCTTGAAGTTTGAACATAATAATTTCCAGACGAAGAAAACCTGGTCTCATGCCTGTGCTTTGAATTAGCTTTAGTGAAGAAATCACAGATGTTAGACGGAGCATTCATGCAGGAAACGTCAAACATTATAGAAGATACTTTTTCAGCATATAACATTTGTAGGGGTAGAATTTTCGAGGAAATAAATAAAGGCACAGCATGGGCTCTAGGTTCAGAAAAGTACATCAAACGAAGGGCTCGTTTTTGAAGCACGAGGATTTTTTTTAAATGTGCTGAAAAATGAATATGATTATGAATAATTGATGGCAGATATACTGAACGTCTGTCAAACTAGCTCATTACATGTGTATGTTTTTTGAGAAATGTGGAAGCCCTCAAGTAAATTTTCACTCTAAGATATGTAATTTTATGCTAACATTTTGTCCCTAGACCTTTCATAAAGGGTTGAAATTTTGATTGCCATCTATCTAATCAGTGAGGGTTACAAGAATTGGTGCAATATAAAAATAATGATATTTTAATCTAGAATAAAAAGGAAAATCTGCTCTCTTACTGGAAGTGGCTTCACCACCCTGGTCATGGCTTGTGGTCAGTGCCCAGGTTTGGTGCCAATCCACGTGTGTGTCCTCAAAGCCCTGTTGTGTGAAGTCGATGAATGAAAGGAATGTTCTAAATAGCATAGTGGCATGGTCTACTAACAGGTGACCATAATCACCTATAGCAAGACTGCTACCAAACAATTCTTTCAGCATGAATCCCCACTCTTTGCACTAGAAAAACAAAATCGAGTATTAATAAGAATGTGCATCATTCTATACATCAACCATGCACATATAACAACATCTTTATTTGGTTAGTTCAATAAGACTTGACAACCTTATTACTCGGGTAATTACAAGTTACAGTATGTGACACACAATTAAGTTTTGACAACTTTTATGATATTATGTAAATACAGAACTAGAGCTACAGGAATAATGTAAAGAATAGGCAAACTGTACATCAAACAAGTCAATTTCCTCTTGTTCATCCTTTTTGAACACTTTGTCTCTTACCACCAGAGCAATTTCTTTCCACTCAGCAAACCTTAATGAAAAAAATTAACTTTACTCATCTGATATCAACTATTGCATATCCATTTGTTTCAATAAATCTGTCTGTCTGTTTGCAACACAGAAAGCAAGATCCTTATCTTTCTTTGACAAAGTCTTATGGCATTTGCACAATTTTTGGAAATTCTTGGACATTTCATCCTTTTTTTTCAAGGAAATTCCACTTGGACATTTTCATCCTTTGGGCACTCTTTTTAATTAATTTGCACAATTTTTGGAAATTCTTGGACATTTCATCCTGCTCTTTTTTCCAAGCCTTTATATGGAGCTCCATATCCACTTTAACATCTATCTAGAGAAAAACTTAATGATCAAACTGTTCTTAAGTTGCCTTTGGGCACAGTTATGATATAATTATAAATTTTAAACTTGTCATTTCAAATATAAATAATTTCACACAATTGCTGGAGTGCCTTTTAAAAACATGCAGAGCAAAAGCAAAAAACTATGATTTGTAACTGACTGTGAATCCTAGTTTCCATACAGGCTAACTTTGAATTTCTGTCTAGTTTTATGTTCATGTTGAAGCAGGTGGAATCGAAGTGTTGCTAGAGGTCGAGGTTGTAGCAGGCAGATTTGAAGTGTCGCTAGAGATCGATGTTGAAGTGGGTGGATTTGAAGCATCGCTAGAGGTCGAGGGTGAAGTGGGAATAGTCGAAGCGTTGATCGTATACTTCTCTTGTGGTAAAGACATTTTCGGTACTGCGGGTGTGGTGCTTGTTGAGATGTTCGCAATGGCATCCATGAGACGTATTTTGAAAAAATCGGCCTCTTCCACCTCCTTCATGATTTCGTCAACTTCCCTGGCCGTCAACATTTACTTGTTGAGCCCGCTGATAAGTTGCAATTTTTCCTTTCACATCGCATCTATCCTCGTTAGCCGGTTTCTCGTTTTCATGTCCAGTAGTGCAACATCCTTTTCCAAAATTGTGTCTGATTCTTAGATTAATTTCGTAAAACTCCTCTATTTGCCGCGCACTTTACTTGTAGTCGAGGAAGGGCCTCCTCCATCATCTTGAGATGGTCGAGATTCAATCCTATTCAGACAGAAAAACCCCCTTGTCTGAATAGGTTCTGCTCAAAAAAATAAGTGCAGTCTTATGGACTGCTAGGGTCCATTATCCAGCTGAAAGAACATTTTCAAGGGACATTGGGTTTTATTCTAAGGCTGCAAGAATTACAGACAACTATGTAGTTGCTGAAGTCAAAACATCCTGGGAGCATGAAACGTAGGAGGCACATGTCAGTTGAAATAAAGTCCTAACAAGAAAGAAAATTGAAAATATGATTGTCTGAAATATTACTCTTTTACTCACAAGAAAATGAAAATTAAGTTTATTTGGGAACCAATATCATCCAAAAAGCTACTACACGATGCATTTCCCATTAATTTTGGTCAGCAATACCTTCCAATGAATAGCTACGCTCTTTGAACTCTGTCTACTCTAACATCAAAAATTACTTTAAAAGGGTTCATGCAAAGACCAACACAGTTAACAAATATACATACACCCAATGTAACTTCTTTTCTTCCTCTGCCTCCATGCAAAAGGTACTATATCTTGAGTTTAATCACAGTGTGTGGAACACGTACATTAACTAAATTAACTTTTTGGGCTTTAGATTTCACATTTAGTGTCACGTGACTTTTGATGTAAACAAACCTCAAAAGTTTGGATATTGAGTCGAGCTCGCAGCACATGTCCAAACTTCGGCTTTGGAAATTTTTCTTCAATAACTTCCCACTTTAAAGAACTGTTCTTCGCTCAAAATAGGTGTCTTTCTTATATCATTTTCTGATCGTTTATCAAGTAAGTTGTCATTTCACTGCTGTTGAAACAGATGCAAAGAATGTTACAGGAAGAATTGTGGCATGGAATAATTGAACTAGTTCTGCGTTCAGTGATGTATCGGATTAGGTATTTTCAGGGTGTTGTGTGCCTAGATTGTTAAATAAAATCACTTCTGTCTGAAAATTAGTGCTCACGAATTGCTGTAGAACATGAGGAAGCCTTAATTCCCACACGAAATTACGTATCTGGGTGTGGATTTCCTTAACTGATAAATATACCAATTTTTTTTAACCTTAAGTAACGCAAGTGGGAAATTCTGTGAAACTCAGAACAACTTTCAAGGAAAGTTAAACTTAAGAATGGCAGATCACAAAGTAAAGCTGACTCAATGCATTGAGTGTGGCATAGCTTAAAAAATATCTACAAGAACGGGGGATTTGAGCAAGTGGATACTTGGAACCTTGTTAATGGAAATCTCCTCCGCAGTCGAAAAAATGGTTCTGCCAGGGGATCCAAATTTCAAAAAGGTGACGCCACTCCTTTCGACGAATTGATAATTCATAATATGCTAATACCCAATCCATTTTTCCTGAAGACTGTTAACAATTTGAATGCATCACTGCTGTTTGGATTGTACAACATTATTAATAATTTGATTTGCTCTCCTGAGCTCATCACTGGCTCTACGCTCAGATTGAAAGGAGGCTTGCACTACTGCGTATTCCTCTATCGATTTACCGGTTTTGACAATTAAGTGTCAGAAGGGATTTTGCCACTGATTGTTCAAGGCAAACTTTCCTGCACCTCTCTTTGTCTGCTTCTCGTTCCCAAGATGCCTTCTGTTTACAACTGAGTTGCGACATCTAGGCATGGTATACATATTTATCCCAACGACAAAATAACGATTTAAAGAATGACCGAATTAAATTACCTTTTCTTTACTAGCTACTGCAGATATGGGATCAGGATCCTCTTCTGTCGGCCCATTTTCACCAACAAAATTTAGACTACAAAAATTGCTGTCCTTCATACACACGAACTAGTCACCTCGATGACATGACCTTATCCACCTTTGCATTCTCTCCTTTTGTCTAACTGTCCCTGGAAAATTGAATAATTAAACGAGACTTACCTTTAAGTTGAAGTTTGATTGAGATTCTACCGTAGCATTTGCAGAAATGAAGAGATCACATGAGATAGCAAGTCACGTGACTTCGAGCTCAGTCTTGAAAGCATATTTTTTTTTTTGTTTTTTTGAGGAGTCCTGTAGACCACCCCATAGATTAATAGTAAATATATGGTGTATGCAACACCATAGGATGATATGAACAGGGGGAGGGGAAGGGAGGGATGTGATCTCTTCATTTCTGCAAATGCTACGGTAGAATCTCAATCAAACTTCAACTTACAGGTAAGTCTCGTTTAATTATTCAATTCTACCTCGCATTTGCATACATTCTGAGATCACATGAGATTTTAGAGCTCTATAGGGCTCTCAAAAAATAAAGAATACACATTCCAGATAAGGAAACGTAAGCATGGCATTTATAACCAAGGCACTAATTCTTTCCCAGTACACTGTTGGCAAAGGAACTATCATTTAACAGTGGTTTGTTATAATAAACAGCAAACACAGAGCTTGAACGCCAGCCAGCTGTGGTCATAATTTCATCTAGAGGAACATCAGCTGACTTTGCAGCAGAAGTGGCTGCACTTCTGGTGGAGTGAGGCTTAAAAACAGAAGTATTAATTCCAGCGTCAAGCATAACTTGTTTGAGCCACCTAGAAATAGTGTCTTTAGAAGCAGGCCCATGAGGCTTGCAGTGGCAAATCAGGAGTTGAGAACATGAACCCCTTAAGTTAGAAGTTCTAATAAGATGCTCTTGTAACAATGTAAAAACGCAAAGAGTTTTATCATGGTCATATTTCTTCAACACAATAGGTGGCAGGTGTCTTTGCCGGCCACCATGAGCACTTGTTTGCTTTAGAATGGAAGTAATTTGAAAAACATATTCTCCATCTTTAGATTGCATGTCATTGATTGACAGCAACTTAAGAGTCTGTGTTCGTTGTGCAGTAACTAAGGCCAAAATCATAGTCAGTTTCAAAGTCAATTGCTTCAGAGACATTTCCTTGGTGTCAGGATAGCCCTTGAGGTGGCTGAGAACAATTTGGGGGTTCCATGTTTCCACATATCTGGGGAAAGTTGGTTTCCTGTTGAAAGCACCCGACATAAAACGTGAAATAATAGGGTGTTCTCCTACTTTGAAGCCATCAATATTGATGAAGGAGGAAAGAGCACTTCTAGTGGTCCCTAGAGCACTGTAGCTAAGCTTTTTGGACTGAAGAGTTAGAAAGTTCAACAGTTGTGGTAATGAAGGTGTTGTAATGCTGATCTTCTGTTCTTTACAGTAATTTATCCAAGTTGATATGCTGGATCTGTATTGCTTCTGGGTACTTTCTCTCCAAGAATCAATAATAATGTTCAAAGTTTCACCAGTTATTCCTTGCAGCTGGAGGGATTTCCTGACACAAGACAGCCAATCAGTCGGAGCTTGGGGTAGAGGGGATGGACGTTCTTGAGATCGTGGGGAAGGGTCAGGGTTGACTTCTGCAGCTTTATTCGGTGTAGAGGCGCCACTAGCATTGACATTACTCGTGGGTACCAAAACTGTGTTGGCCAGTCGGGGAGAACTAGGATTGCTGTTGTCTCGGAGAATATTATCTTCTGAAGTACTTTCCCAATAACACTGAAAGGTGGGAAGCAGTAAACAAGTTTAAACACAGACCAGTCAAGTGTAAAGGCATCAATAAAATGAGCACATGGGTCAGGTTTCCATGCTGCGTAGCAGGGCAGTTTTGCATTCAACCGTGATGCAAAAAGATCAATCTCAGGATTACCCCATTTAGTAATTAAGCTGTTATAAACATGAGTGTCTAATGACCATTCCGTGTCATCATGAAAGTGTCTACTTGCTAGGTCAGCTTCAACATTACGTTTTCCAGGTAAATGGGTGACAGCTAAGGATATGCCCCTGTCTTTGCACCACATAAGAGTTTCTCTTGCAATCTCATTACAGTCCCGAGAGTGAGTGCCACCCATATTTCTCAAGTAGGAAACCGCAGTTTGGTTATCAGACAATACTTTGATGTTACAGTTTGTTAAGTCTGAGCACA